ACGACACGCACGCACGCACGCACGCACGCACGCACGCACGCACGCACGCACGCACGCACGCACGCACGCACGCACGCACGCACGCACGCACGCACGCACGCACGCACGCACGCACGCACGCACGCACGCAGGCACGCGTGCAGGGACACGCGTCGCGCTGCCGGGGGCTTGAGGGTGCTTATCGATTGGCAGGTCTGACCTAACACTGACACACTTCACTCGCGAGGTCTGACCTCCGTTCTGTATCGCGGGTGTATCAACCACCCCCATAGCCTTAGGATTTATATAATAAATTTCTCTTTGCATCGTTCGCCACCCCCTCCTCCCTCCTCCCCACGACGCGGCCATTTGCGAGCTTGGGCCGTACGCGCGCGAACCATTTTTCGGATTAACGTCATTTCCCCGGCATCAGGGGTAGTAGATATGGTCGGCCATTGCCAGCCATAATTTCCTGACCGAGCTAATGGAAGGCACCTGTTTCGCATTTTTTTTTTTTCTTTCCACCGCTCGTGCCGTGGTTCGCGTCCCGGAAATAAATATTGCATCGTGGATTTTGTCGTAATAGCCATTGTTTATCTGTATAATCTCGTTCTCGTTGCTTGAATCTTTTATCAAGTTAGGAATAAGTTAAGTCCCGCTGAGATCAAGATTTACGAACAACTTGCTTTTAATGAGGTCTTCCGTAATTCCGGTGAAATTTTAATGTTTCTCAGAAGGGATTAAATTTGCGCGACTAGTCCGCAGCAAATTCGTAAGTTTTTAAAGAAGATGTTCCCTTTAATGATATTAATCCGTCGGTGAAAGTGTTTTTTTTTTTTTTTTTTTTTAATTCAATTCGAATATCACGTTTAACGATAGAAATTTTACGGAAAATATAATCGATCGTAGTGTGTACCGTTCCAATGAATTTTGATTAATCAAAGTTATGTAATCTGTTAAGCCCGTTAACATGTGGCTCGCCCACAATGATGGAATCTTGGGGCCCTGGGAGGACTGGCACACCCCCGCCGGGTCTACCGCCACCGCCGTCGGGCAGCAGCAACAATGGTGCCGCAACAACGTCGACGATTATCCCGAGCGTCGTACCACAACCCGGCACCACCGCTCCCATCGCAAGTCCCGAGGGAGTAAGCGACGTAAGTAAAAAAAGTGCACCCAGCAACTAACTACGCGATTCTTTGCCAACATTGCAATTGTAATTAACCGGCAGTAATTAAGCAGTCATTGTAATGTGAGCAGCAAGGCTGCAATGGATGAAGCTTTTCACATGCGAGAGTATGAAGAAATTTACCATATTTCCCCAATCGCTCTTAAAAAGTAAATTTTTCAGATTATTAGTAGAGGAGAAAGTGGTATGGCCGCCCATTTATATTTTATATAATAATTTTGTTAACAATCAATTTTTTCAGATTAAAAATTAACGATTATATTTATCAAGGTGTTCTATAATAGGTTTTAGATTTAAAATTACGAAATATTTTATGTTGAATATTAGTTATACAAATATACTGCATAATAGGTCAAAGAGGAACAGGGATAATAATATGGATTACAACAAAAAATAAATAAAAAAAATTGATTTTGTTTAAAAAAGACATAATATTTTGTTATAAAATTGTATATCTGTTTAAAATAAATTGTTAGAACTGCAATTGTTAGAACTACAATTTAACTGTGAAGTTTTACAATAGAGGGTAGATGCTAATTTATTTCAATTAAAAGATATTAAAAGATTAAAAAAAATCACAAGTTGCGAGAAAGGACGGTTTTTACAAAACAAACTTTTGGACTTTTGAATTTTTTAACTGAAGAATTCAATAATCTCAAAAATTTCGAAGGTAGCACGTTTAGAATCTCGTTAACAAAATGCTATGCTATTGTTTAACTTTGCATAACTCGGAAATGTATAGCTGAATGTTAAATTAACAACAAAAAAATACTGTAGTCAAGTGTACATACATTTATATGATAACATGGTCAAATTTAAAAAAAGAGAGAAATGTATATATAATTAAATGCTAAAATGTACCTTGGAAAAGTTTCGAAATGCACGAAAATAAAAGTGCTTTATATCAAATATCGGCTATTGTGTACTGGCTTATTAACGCCATTACATAATGACTCTAAAAAAGGACTCCCTAAATAATTACTAGAATTCGTCACCTAATAACGAAGACATTACGAACGGTCGTGACACCTACACGGTATCCATAAAATCACCCTCTCCTCTAGAGACCGTAAGAGAAAACGAAAAATGTAGTGAAAGTGAGGGGTGAAATGATGAAATATTTTAATTCTAATGGGATATCTCATTAGATAGCAGGAACACACTCGCGAAACGTGTTAACAAACGGGCATCACCGAAAGCGGAAAGAGACTTCGGTGAAATTGTCCGCCGAGTTTCGATGAAAACCAGCCATTTTAATCGCGCCCTTTCCAGGCGCACGTCCGTAACGAGCGGCAAACGCGCGTTCAGCATGCACGTGGCGGCTGATAGCCCGAAATTCCGGGACAAAGTTTTGCCCCCCGAGTCGAGCGCGCCATACGCGACTGACACGTAGGGGTAGAGGGGTAGCTGCGAAACGGGCGAAGGTTATCGCACGGCACCGTACACGAATTAATAGCGCATGCATGAACCGCTACCGTCGTACAATTCGAACACATGTCGAGGTTCTCGTACACACGCGACCTGCAAGAGTGAAACTATCTCTCGCACCTACCTACCTACACGGCCCTTCGGTCCGTTTCAATTTCACGAGCACCCTCCCCCCCCCTCCCCTCGACGGCTGGACGTAATGGACGCCGACCGTGCTATCGAACCGAGCTAATAGAATCTGTGTACATGCCCGCTGCCGCGGTGAGATTCCTCGAATTTTAAGGACAATAGCTGGCCGCACTGCTGACGTGGAGAACTGACGAAAGTTACTTTTCCCTTCTCCTCCCGTGACGTAAAACCTTAGGTACCCGTCGATGAGACAGAAATCACGATGGAAAACATTGATTAATTTCACAATTTCGCGTTAGGTTTTTTAAACTGTACTTACAATATTTAAATATTTTATAACATAGATATTTTATTAAATGTTTATAAGTGAAATGAATGTAAATATTTTAAATTGTAACGACTATCTATATTTTTGCTTACATATTTTACCTTTTTAAGATAATTATTAGATTATGGAAATGGATTTTATTATCGAAAATATACGAAAAGATCGATTAACCGATCGGGACGGTGTTTTTAGGTCTCGCAAAAATCGGGACTCTGGGAAGGTGCGAACTCGTCTTCGGGGGGTGCTGCGGAGGGTCCTTCGCGGAGCGTTTCTCATGCGGCGAGTTTGGACGCTATCTCGAGGCGAGCCGTGAAACCGGAAACGACGAGGGCGCCCTGTCGCAGCCTCACCTGCAGCGTCTGTAAGTACTTGACGGCCTCCACCGCGCATTCATTTCTATTCCATTCTTCGTGTCGCGAGTTGCCTGACCTGGCATTAGCGCTTTCTGTGGAGTGGCGTTTTATTTTACGAGCGGCGATATATATGTACTCTTCTCCCAGCTGCGTTGCGTTTCAATCGCGCTTGGCGGAACGTATATATACGGTTTTTTTTTTTTTTTTTTCTAAAAGTCGTGACTAGAAATCGATTTTGTCGATCATTTCGCGAAAAAGATTAAAAGAGAGAAATGGCATAGGTAACGTCTCTGACGTGAGCTGAGGAAATGTCGCAATCATTCTTGATTATTTGAAAGCTAATGTGATTGAACAGCGTTTGTTCGTTCCGTCCACTGACTTGATCTGCGAAGATTTTGTTCGATATCTAATTGAGGAAACGAAGAAATATTTTAACGTCACAATTGCATTGCTTTAAACAAAAAATTGCGATATACCAGCGTGTCTAACCGCGTATATATGTATCACGGTTAAATAATAATTGATGGCAACGTGAATAATAATAATAATAATAATATAATATAGTTGCATGCGACATTTCATGCCGCGGATGTTGACAGAGAGTGACCATCTGGCCTTCCGTGCTGCATTGCAAGCGAAGAGCGTTCTATAACGTCGCGAACGATATATATCGATACATGTAGTTGGAGCGCGAGGTCTTGCATGTTTGCAGATAGAAACTGATAGATAAATGTTTTTCTCCACTTTTTGCTTCGTCTCTTTTACTCTTGTGCCGATTACGGAGAGAAAAACAAGAGAGTTAAAAGCGAAAAGATATTTCTTTCCAAGCTTGTGGCGATTTGTGCTTAATACAAAATCGTGTCATGTTTTTCTCTTACGAGTATCTCGAGTATTCTCTTATGAGTATTGATCGATATTTTTTGATGTTTGATAACGTTTTGCAGATATGTATCTTGTACGTATTAACGCAAAAGTATCGCTTTAATGTCGAGCCACGTAGTTTTTTTTTTTTTTTTTATGAGAATTCCTCTTAATGACAAATTTTACGAAAAAAAATCGATTTCGAAGTGATAGAACAAAATCTACAGCCGAAAAGATATCCGGCGGGTTCGAAACGCTTTTTGGCAGTCGTCGCTTTATCGTAACACTCGTTAGTCAACATTTGAAATGTAATAAGTCGCAAATGTAATAAGTCTGACAGTCGCTACACGATCTGGTAGTATCTTTGCCAAGAACGTAAAATTTATCTGGAGCACGGAAACAACGCGAGAACATTGGGTTTACGATCTCCGTTTAAGTACATCCGACTAAACGTCCTTAATCTCGCCGACAATACATAGGCGACAATTCTTGAAGGTTCGGGGGGAAAAAGAGTATAAGTCAAGAGAACAAGTTTTTTTTAAGGCACAGAGACAAAGGATCGAAGAAAGATGCCAGATCCTGCCAGAGCCGGCGCGACTATTTTTAGTACGATCATCGCGTAGGAAGACACCCTACAAAGAGGGTATTCCTCGAAATAACTAACATCATGCGCACATAAATCTGTTCGCACGTTTGATTAGCACGAAAGAGCACCGATTAAGTTTTATAGAAGTATAAATAATTTTTACTCAGGAGAGCAGAAACAGCTCGCACTTATTTCACTCGGTTTTAAATTCTGGTTAAAAGCTTAGAAAATTTATAATAAACATTTTAAAATATATATATATATATATATATATATCTAATTAAATTGTTAATTTTTTTATTTTATTTTATTTACGTAGAAAAGAGATAGACGCACGTTAGAAATTTAGTGAAACGAAGACGACCGTGATATCTCTGTACCAAGTTTGATCTTTAGGCTTTAGAGCTATACTCTTTTTCTCTAAAAAATAAAAAAAAAATTAATTAGATAGCAATCCCGATCCTTCTTCCCGTCATATTATGCATTACGTTATCGCCTTTGTCAGCTTATTGGCGACCACCTCTTCTCCTCATGAGCTGTCAATCCAAAGTCAAACCTCAGTAAACTATTTTAGTAGCGGGCCGAGGGAGCGAACACGTCACCCTCGAGCGACGACCAGCGACAGTCGATAATCTGGCCGAAGGTAAAACAGGAGGGAGCAACCCTGCTCTTTTGGTTTCCTTTAACCGACCGCGAGTCAACCGGCGAGCTTGCACCCCTTTATTACAACTTACCAAGCGCTTGCAGCTTTCTTGTTATCATGAGCTTTCGAGATCTAACTTCGTACTTGTGTCCGATTGAGCTTTCATAGGCCTTGTTTCTACTTACTCACCACTTGTATACTACTTATACTGTTTTTACTACTATACTGTTTTTTACTTACTCTCATTATTATTTCTTAACTTACGATATGCTATTTAAATCCCACCGTTTGAACAAAATTGTAAAAAAAGTGTCACTATTTTATACATTTACCGTACGATTATCTAACGAGCACTGTAAGCCTCGCACGATCAGCCATTTTATACTCATCCAAGGGTGTCTAGATGTCTGTCACTGTACCGTGAAGCAGGGTTGTGCCGTATATTTCAAAATTACATGATTTACATGATTCTTTTTCATATAAACAATATAAACATGTAAATTATTATAAATTGGAATAATACAAAACAGAATAAAAGGTAGAATAAAAAAAAATTAAGATTTACTAAGATTGTTAATATATTTGATTTTAATATATTAATAATAAAATATATAATATTAAAAATTAAAAAGTTATAATAAATAATGAAATATCAAATTTTCATTATATTACATATCAAATAAAATCCAAATAAAATATATACATTCAAAAATGTCAATTTATTTTTTAATTAATTTTATAAATGGCTAACCTTTCATGGCTTCTATCACATATGTATTTATTATATGTTATAATATTGTGTATTAATTTGTCTAAATATGATGAATGAGATACGAATTTTCTATGATTCTTGGGTTACATTTTATATAGATGACATTTTATACATATTTTTCTTAATTTATATAATTTATATATGACACGTAGACATTTATATTTTACGCGTAAACGTACAACCTGTTTTGACGCAATACGATTTTTATACAATTTTTTCATTACTACAACTTGTATAATTTAAACTTTATTTATTTATCAAGTTTAATCAAGAAAAAATTTTTTATAATGTATATATTTTTTTTTAAATAGCTAAATCACTTTTAACTCGAACATATACAATTATTTATATTTTATTTAAAAAATTTTAATCCCAGATATTCCTTTAGGGCATTAAGGCATGTATATATTATTTATTTAAACGAAAAACAAGAAATACTTTGTGTCCATTCCATATCTTATAATACCTTTATTCAAGTCACGTCATCGATTTCTTCTCGTCTCCACTTTTACTCTCTCAAGCGAATCGGAAGTAAACGAGCACGAACAACTCGCTTCTCCGTTCGTAACTTACTGAAGCAAGTTGTTCATTCATGTTTTGTTCATGCTCATTTCCGGCTTTAGAACTTCCCAGTTAACTGACTTTTCGAGAACAATCGTGGATTCCGCCGGAGTATATTTGGCTGATCGGGGATACGGGGATGAAATTTCTAGTTACGCTTCTCTTTACAGCGGGATCAGAAAATGGCTTTCACGGCTTCTTTTACTCGAACACATGTGCAAGCATCATGGTGCATTTCCGGTATTTGCCCGAAGTGCTATTACATACCGATCGTGGAGAACCGTGTGAACCGCGTATAACCGCGGGGCCGCGATCAATAATCATCGTCATATACGTCATTGTATAAATCATCATCGAGACGTGATCCCTCCATTATATACATATATTACATATATTACCCGACATAATATTTAATTAACGCATCGTCACGCGATATAACCGTCTCGCCCGACTTTTACAAACAATAAAACGATCTCTTTTTCACAGGTATGCAGCTTCTAGTGCGGATTAACTAACTTGTTTTATTAACACACTTCTGAATGCTTTTAGAGAGATATAGGCTCGGTTATTTATTGATTCGTCGAGTTGCTCGTCACACATCGAAGCGATCATTGGTACGATCTTTGATTGTTAATATCAAAATATGCAAAATGTACATTAAAATTATAACATTGGGAAAATAGAAGAAAATGTTTTGTGAAAATATATGTTTTCTATCTAGTATTAATTAAATTTGATTACACTGCTTCTTAAGACAGATGAATAATACAAAAATTAATAAATGAAAACTTATCAGACTCCTTATCGAGTTCGCCGAGAGTCGCCTCCTCTATTCTCTAATTTGAATACAAAAATTGTTTACGATATGATCGTTTCGTTGTATCGTTTTTAGATTAGTATGCGTACTGTAAATAATGTCATAAAACCGACCGAGAAATTATGTCACTTGGGACACATATTATACAGTATACACGTGCCTGTATTTGTACTAGATTATTACACTTCAGCTTCCTTCATAATTAAGTACGTCGAGAGATTGTCGATTAGCGATGTACATAAATACAATCTTGTAAACCTAGTTCATTAGATTCACTGTCGCCAGTTTCAAAAATTCATTAAGATCCGGATAGATGTGATTTGATCGAGCCTGTATTTCACGCCTATAGATTTTGGATTAACAACAATGACGATATGTCATTTCACGTAAGCGTAATCTACGAAAAGACTCACATTTACTTGTTTGTCTTTTGTAGCAACGAAACATTCGAAAATCTTTCCTGGCGTCGCTTCTGAAAGCGATTTGCAGAAATGGCGAACATCCAGGGATCGGAAATCACCGTCTCTAAGTCAGATGGGGCCGGATTCCATCAAACACAAAGTAAGTTGTTTACGCTCGAGAACAATATTAAATATCATTCCTGTTGGCTTAGATTAATTTTTTAATTATTATTAAACATGAAATTTATGTAATTAATAACGAGAATGAATACGCATAAAATATTTTTTATGAATATTTATTTTTAATATTAATATTTACTATTAATAATATTAATTTTATAATAATTAATACAATAACTAATATTAATTAATTTAATATTATTAAATTAATATTATTTTATATGTTACTTCATATTAACGTGTGTTTATTTTCAGTTTTCTCTACAAGACAATGGATCTGCAAAGTATTTTCAAGGAGCGATGCACACACCAAACATGGGAGAAAAAGTTGCTCAGGTAAGTGAAAATTGCTATTAAAATAAACAAGCAATATGCGATCTGGAAATTGCAATGGGGAAAAAGCAAATAATCTCGAAAGATAATATTGAAAAACATACACATCTCTGTTAATTACATGGGGTAATGGTAGAAATGGATTCTTTACATATATGAGTTATTACGTACTCGTTGTTGTATGATCATATAGAAAGTTTGGTGTCCCCTCGAGGGACATTTCGGAAAATAGCAGGAAATTAAAAACATCACGATGACGTATTTATGCGACATTAATTGAAATTAGTGTAAACCTGCTTTCCGGAAATGAAAGCGTCAGTCGTTTCTTGGTGGGTTAAAGATACCTTCGCCCTCTTGGCGCAATTCTATTTCGCGAATTAAAGATAGGGTTCGCCTGAGAAGTTAAATCTCATTTGCTGACATCAACCGAGTGAAACGTGTTTTCGTCACGGAATCCACTCGTCAAGTTAATGCTTAAATTAATGAATTTTTTAATGCTGCTGGAGCATTCCGAGAGCATTTTGTGCTTCCTTTCACGGGAAAGCAAATTACACGATTGGTATAATGAGAAATCACATTTAATCAATTGAAAGCTGAAAAGTAAGAGAGTCAAAGAGCAATTACGAAATTAAAAATATTACGAATATAACATAATTTGCTTTATGGCACACATAGATAGATTTGTATGATTTTCCGTCAAATTATTGCGCGTGGAAGATTTTCTTTCTTTTTTTCATGCTTACGCAGATCTTGAATGAACAGCTCTTGCATATTAAATTAATGCAAATTTTGCATTATTCTTTCGCGCGGAAAATAAACGAGGGTTATATTTTCTGTTTTTTTTTATCTTTTTTTTTGGTTTTTTTTTTATTAAAACTATTGTCTTCTTGTTTCGCATTCAGCACGTGGCTGTAGCATAAGAAATGCGACGGGGCGTGCGAGCTTTCAAATATTTAGCAGAGCAGCGGTGTAGCGGAGACGGGGAACGGATAGGGAAAGGGGGTTGTTTGCACACGGGTGTACCTTTAACACACTGCCTTATATTAATACGGCCCTGACTGGCGCCAATCCGACTGCGCCGCAGTCTCGTAGGCGGAAATCTCCCGCAGCGTGGGACTCTCGCAAAATGACGTTTTACAGCGAATACCTACGCGATTGCCGCGGGATAAAGAGTCCGCGATTCGAGAAAAAAAAAATTGTATGGTACAGCGATCTCTCCAATTAATATTATCGGTGAAGCGCGAAATTGGAAAGCATCCTTTCTGATAAATCCGTATATATTATATTGAAGTAATAATCCCATATATAAAACATCACGTCCGGTTTTGTATTAACGTCAGTCTGTGTGACAAAGGAAGCTAAATTGCACCGCGATGCGCATACGAGGCTTTAAAATATTAACAGAACGAGAGAAAATTGATATGATACGTTGCAAATGACTGATATCAACCGAGTTCATCAATTAATAAAAATTACTTTGTTTATGAAATTCCCGATATATATCCGTACTGATGAGCCGCGTGTCCTTTCATATCGTTATTCCGTTACAGCGTATCGCCCCGTTTCACGGCGTATTGCTGTGCAAGATTACATTTTATGCGGGGAAAACAATTTGCTCGAGCGTAGTTTATGATCGATTATGTTTCGTGTTGCTCCAACGTTGCGACATTGCCTAAGAGATGCCATCGGAACGATCTAGCGACAATTTTCGCGATGGCTTTCCGGCCCTAAACTAAATATTTCTCAAGATTTTATCGGAATCAGAGGACATTGCACACACGTGTTATTATGCACGACAGAAAATTCCGTACTCTTGCATGCATGAAACAATTAAGATTGGATTAAGGGTTTATTTCCCTTAACGTTGTAACTGTCTCTTGTATAACATAGCCCGGCTTGCAATATGCAGATCCAATTTCCCCAACAAAGTCGCGCAAAGCTCATGGGCTTCCAAGAAGTCGTAACATATATATTTATATGCGACTTTGGCATTGTCCTAACTTAGATTATTACTCCGTAGTCGCGTTATTACGAACAAACGTTTGAATTATGGGCGGATATTCCGGCAAGTTGCGAGCAGCATTTTAGCAAGCGCAAGCGACCATTTCGCGGCGATGCTTAACGGGGAGAGAAGCTCTCGTCGCGTACTCAATTATTTATATAAACCAGAATAGCCACCGAATTTCCAATATATCGATAACCGATACTGCAACATTGCAGAGATTTTTATCGTGTACTCAGGTGTTGTTGCAATAATTATATCAACGCCAATAAATCAATTTCCCCGCCGCTTGCAACGGCGCTTTTTCATAAAGTTTGCTTTAAAACTCTGAAACAGGAACACCGTTCTTTTTCTTTATTTGGCGAAAGTACAATGTAATCCGCCAGTAACGCTTTGACGTTACGTTAAGATATTGTTACATTTATTGACATAAACATCCATGAATTTGTCACGAGACATTCAAGGCAATTTGTCTCGAAATAGGCGAGTGGAAATGCGAGGCAATAGACCAGACCATTTTTCGTTTTAATATTTAAATCTGTCTTGTGGGAATTGCGACCTGATAAAATCTACGATCATGTCCCTTCCGTCACATGCGTCGCAATGCGTAAAAAAAAAAAACGCAAGGAATTCAATGCTGAAAATAGTGCCGTGCAGGCACTCGTTCAGCGTCGAGCTTTCGCAACGTTCCGAGAAACCGCTGCTTCGAAGAAGGAAGCAGCTGCGACGTAGCTTCGAGTAGCCGTCAGTAAGAAGGTAATTAATAGCACGAAAACATATCGAATAGCTGGCATTCCGCGCTTATTTGATGGCATATCCATGATAGCTTTCCCGCCGAAGAACAATGGGTCCCGGTGTTTTCCGACGTCAATCGGAGTTGCATAACCGATTTCGAGAGAGGATTTCGACCGGAGAGAAATGAGGGAAACTACAATTAGTGCGAGAATGATTAATTAATAGCGGTAATTAATGGCTCGTGAAAGCTATACCGCGATGATGCGTGACGTCCGTACAATACATGTACATCAAATTTAAGCGGAATAGTTGTAACGATAAAGTGGAATAAGCATACAGTCCGAATAATTGATTAGCTCCTTGAAAGGAGATTACCGTCGCGCCAATTAATCCCCTTTTTGCGAAGATCAATTCTCAATTAAACGAAAAGAATTCCAGAATTCTTTCTAGGACGATCGATCTTCAAAACAACACCTGTTGTGAAAACAACAGGCCTGCTCATCGACGTATTCCTCACGATCGATCAGCCTCTCTCTTTACGAAAGCGAACTCTCTTGGCAATGATGACGATTCCTCGGGTACTCGGTAAAAATTCATCCGCGCGTATATCGCGAATTCGAAAGAGCGGGGATAAGAGAGAGGGTGGTGTCGCAGTCCGAAGTCTGAGGTATCCGGTCCTCCGACCGGATGCAGCCGGGGATGAAGCCGTAAACCGGAAATTCGGATGCGGACACGTCAATCGCGAGGCATCGCGAGGAGGAGGAGGAGGAGGAAGAGGCAAATCCGCTGGCTCTGGCGAATTGCCCGCCGCGAATTGGCCGATCGGCGAGAGAGAAGAGAGAGAAAGGAAGAGCGACTTATCGGGGCGCACGCGTGCCGGAACGAGAGGGAAAGAGAGGGTTGCGAGAGAGGGCTCGGAGAAATTCATCGGCTTCCCGTTACACGGCGCCCCGATCAGTGTCGCAGTGTTCCCCGTTCCGCTTGGCAGGTAGCTCCGTCACTCGCACCACTCCGTCCACGTCCTCGGCGAAGGAAGATCGCACATGCGAACGGTGACGAGACGTCCTTCCTACGTCCGCGGGTCCCGCAAGGGCGAGAACCTGCCTGATCAATTCGCGACTCGACGTCGCGCCCAGTTTTCGCGCCCAGTTCGTGCCAGTCCTCGAGACCCGCGCGGCAGACCTCGGACGGCAGCGCGTGTTGTCTCCCTTCGCGTCACGTTTTCACGCGAGATCATGACAGAGCACCAAGCGGTACCGAGCGGCAGCACCCATGTCAGCCTAGTCGCGAGTGATCGGGATCGTCCGGCAACGTTCGCGGGCCACGCTTTCTAAAATTGAGACTGTTACTCGCCCGAGAATACTCCTCGTCCGCCGTCGACGTCGATCGCTCGCGGCACTTGCCGCGCCGACGATCGCGAGGCCCGTCCGAGGAAATCGGAGATTGGTGATTGGTTTCACGATCTCGACCCGGACGACCCGGATCGGTCGATGCTGAAACCAGGACGCGCCTCGTGGGATAGATCGCGGTTAATTAGCGTGGCGGGGGAGGGGGTTTTCGCGAGAGTCGGAAGGGCGCGAGATCAATCCTGTCCTGAAAGAAAAGGGGGAGAAATCGTGGTACTGACGACGACGACGACGACGACGACGACGAGAGGGTTAGTCTCAGCCGATGACGATAGTGAACCGCGGATGATGTGAGCGTGTGCTTTAAACAAAGCTTCTCTAATCACAAAGTTAAAAATACAAAATAAAAATACAAATTACCCGAGCACGTAATGAACGGAGAAATCGCTGTGTTCATTGCATGCCGTGTTGAAACGACGCACGGAATGTTAAAGTGCCTTGATTGCCTATTTTAAAACATATCAAAACATATTGCGGAAGAAGGAAATCCCGTCTTGAGGAGATACAAATACGAAATGCTCCATTTTGTCTAAAATTATGTGCTATATAATATATTAAAGCAATTGTAACTATATCCAATTTATTATCGATTTATTTTATATAATCGGATCGTTTTACATATAATTTTCTGTACCAACATGTGCAATTTTGGAAATTTGACACGATTTTTAATAAACGAGAATGAGTCTGCTCGATCAGATGAACCGTTCCTCGTTTATTAAGATTAATCACGGTCGGTGCTTTGATGCAAGCTGTTGCCAATTTTCCGTCCGTCCGTCCATCCGTCCGTCCTCGCCATCATTCATCATCCATGTCTTTGCAGAATGCTTTAGATTCGTTGCATCCTCGTGCAGTCACAA